TATTCACCAGTAGCAAAAATATATTTTTTTTCCAATAGTTTAAAAAGCAGAAAAAAAGGCCGTTACTCTGACCGATTTTCTTGCGTCCAAATCACGTACTTAAACTTGCTGGAGGAGTTTAATATTTCCCTAAGGTGTCTCTGATTGGTGGAAGTTAAATAGACTTGTCTTAGTCGTGTATAGTTTGCCCTAGGAGTTACTTAAGCTTACTCGAGCAGTCTTGCAGTCATGTACACACGTACACACACACACACACACACACACACACACACACACACACACACACACACACACACACACACACACACACACACACACACACACACCGAGGTTACGGGGCCTCGTAGCTGAGTGGACAGCGCTTGGGGGGTCGTATTCCTAAGGGCACGGGCTCGATTCCCGATCGATGCAAAACAATTGAGCAGAATTTCTTTCACCCTTATGCTTCTGTTCACCTAGCAGTAAATAGGCACCCGTGAGTTAGACAGCTGCTACGGGCTGCTTCCTGGGGATGTGTGTATATGTGTGTTAGAGAGAATATACGAAGCAGAAATAATAGAGGAAAAAAAAGATCGATAAGAAAGGCGGGGGTCCAAGAGCTAGAAGCTCATGTATACACGCACAAAAAATAGTAAATACACACACACACACTGGCTTCTCTCACTCAAAGACCTTCAGTATTCAAGCCACGCAGCCTACTGGCACGGTTTCATTTACGCATGTTTAATCAACAATATAAATTTCGATGTAAATCTTTGAAAAAGAAACACCCTCTGGAATTTAAGAAACATTGACTCAGGATGATGACTTTTTTTGTTTAAACTCGTGTCAATATACACACATACACACACCAGGACCGGAAGGTGTATTCAGGCAGGCAACAGAGCCAACCAACCAAATATACACACAAAGGCACTATACTGAAGCGACATACCAGGTAATATATATATTAAATTCTGGAAATGGAGAGAATCTAGTTACGAATTCCTTCACCTATGACTTTCTGACAACCTCTGAGGCTTAACATATCAACCTCCTGCGTTTGTTTTCACAATGTTAGACTGTAACATTGCTAGAACTATCAGGTTAGGATATAACTAAGACTGTCAGGTTAGAATGTTGCTGGAACGTTCAGGTTAGAATATTGCTAGAACGTTCAGGTTAGAAGATTGCTAGAACGTTCAGGTTAGAATATTGCTAGAACGTTCAGGTTAGAATATTGCTAGAACGTTCAGGTTAGAATATTGCTAGAACGTTCAGGTTAGAATATTGCTAGAACGTTCAGGTTAGAATATTGCTAGAACGTTCAGGTTAGAATATTGCTAGAACGTTCAGGTTAGAATATTGCTAGAACGTTCAGGTTAGAATATTGCTAGGTCTATCAAGCTTGAACGCTGCTTGGTCTATCAAGCTAGGACATTCCTTGGACTATCAGACTGCTATATGAACTACTGAATTATGTAAAATATCTGTATGCAGATGCCACAGCTCTCTCGGCCGGGCGAAAGAGAATTATGCAGATTAGTTGGGAAAAATTGTACTGAGGTGTGTTAGAGAGCGTATGCGAACATAAGTAAAGTTGAGGTGGAGGAGAGAGCAAGGATATGTTCTGCTTGAAATTAATATATAAACAATGAAGTTTATATGTGAACAATGAAGTGTTGGAAGTGGTTTTATCAGTTCAAGGAAATTATCAGGACAAAAGCGCTGTTATTTCAACACTATTGCGCCTGGAAGGTTCATGAGGACTAGAATCTGGGTTAGGACGGAGGGGGAAGGAATGGTATAAATGGGGTTCATGGTTCGAGACTGTTATAGCCCAGGTGAACGGAAGGAATGGTGCCCAACCACTTGGACTGTTTGAGGGACTTCAAAACCACCCTGCAAGAAGCGAGACCGTCGCTCTACCGTCCAGTCACACCTGGAATGTGTCATTGGTAAGAGAGGAATTTTTTGGGGCAACCGAAGTTGAGAGTTGGGTCAGTCAGGGAAGAAAAGTGCCTGAGGCAATGGAAGTTCGGTTTAGGGAAAAAATGAGACAGGAACTCATGCAGCCAGAGGGCTCCCATGAAGGAGTGTCACGGGAGGAATCTTCATATATGGAGTGACAATGGTGTGACATGCATGTGACAAAAAATAAAATCATTCAATTGCATGCCAAGAAACGAACTGTTGGTTGCAGTTTTCGAGTCGATTATGTATCTCTGTAACATTTTCCACTAAAACTCACATGATGGGTATGGGATGCATAATAAATGAACAAAGCTGAAAATAAATTAGAATTTTGAAAAGCATGCGAGGTGTGAGGAGAATAGATAAATAATTAGGGAAAATTATCAAGGAGAGACAACAGTAATGAGGTGAGCAGCTTTACATGGTTGGCCATGTTGAATGAAAGGATGATTGTAGATTGATGAAGAGAGCGTAGCTGAATGATTGGGGGGGAAAAGAATGAGAAAATGGAAGCCGGGAAGGTGGCCACACATGACAAAGGGAGGGAATTTTCAGGGAAAAGCGCCAAGCCATTACGATTATATAGCCCTTGGAAGGAGTCAGGATAAGGATTTGTGACGGGACGGGGGTAAGGAATGGTGCCCAAGCACTTGGATGGTTGGGGATTGAACGCCGACCTGCATGAAGCGAGACCGTCCAGCTTGTGAAGAAGCGAGGTATATCACACGGGATGTGGTAAGGGATGAGGCAGAGTGAAAGGATCACGCAAGAAGATAGTTAATACGTTCGTAAATAATATAATATGATAAATCCTACTGAGTATTGTACTCTAGGTATTATGAAGCTGAAGCTGTATATATATATATATATATATATATATATATATATATATATATATATATATATATATATATATATATATACATATATACACGAGGACCAGTGTACACCAGGTGTTAATCTAATTTGCTCTTATTTAATTTGGTTATCATAAGACCTACAATATCTTGTTCATGCATTTTATCGTATCTCATATTTCTAACCTTTAGGTTTTCTCATCAAAATCAGAAAGCAAAAGCATTGGAAATTTCTCAAACATTTAGTTGGGATATACCTTGAAACTGAGACTCATATCTGTAGTGCAGGCATGTCCTCGCAAGCACCTTCTAAGGGAATTTAGGAATTTAGGAATTTACACAGTCGCGCATTTTACGAGTATTTATAAATCTTCACTGTTTCTCATCTTCCAGATGAGAAACATGAGCCCAGCCTGGCCTTTTTCTTTTACCTCAGGTGCATTAAGCTGCACCTTTTTGTCTCTCATATCTCCTGCATTATCACGTTTTAGTCGATTATGAATTCAGTCTTACAAAGGATTTTATTCAGCGAGTGATAAGCCAGTAGGAGCTGCTGTATCTTTCCGGTGAGAGCTTTCACATGGAGATTATTTTAATTTTTTTGTAGCTGTTGTGTAACCCAGTTGAGACCCCCGCTGGCTAGAGGTGTTTGAGGCGCACGTAAACTTGGTAATTAATACTAAGTGTTGCTATAAAATGTGGTCCATATTCGCCTTGAAAAGGATTTTCTGTTGGGTGAAAGCTTTAAAGTTGTATATGTGTCCATCATGCTTTAAATGCCTTACTCCCGCCTGTCTGTCAGCCTTGTTCGGCGATGCCAGTAATGGTGGCACTAGTTTATCGGTGATCGTTAAGGCGGTTAATGAGAGAAACCGCACGTGGGACAGACCACGATGACGGGTAGGTGGTGTGGCGCTGGATCACGGAGGTGTACGCCAGAGACACTTTATTGACTGGTTATTGAAGCCCTTTAACAACATTATTCACTTAACGTTTAGGGGTTTAGTTTACGATCTGAGCTCGATTTCAGGGGCCAGATTCACGAAAGCACTTACGCAAGCACTTACGAACGTGCTTAATCTTTGACTAATTAGAATCAATGTTGATGTGTTTGATGAAATGGTGTTGGATTATCTGTTCTGCCACGATAAAAATATAAATATTGTACACAGTGAAATCACAATAGCTTGAAGTCTCTACTAGAAAATAATCTTTGTAGCCCTTAATCTTTGACGGCTTTGGTTACATTTATTAAACAGTTTACAAGCATGAAAACTTCCCATTCAACTGTTGTTATTGTTATAAACAGCCTCCTGGCTGCTTATAACAACGCTCCGTGGCGCTTCGGAGCTCATTAACTGTTTAGTAATTGGAAACAAAGCCGCCAAAGATTGAGAAAAGGTATACAGGTTCGTAAGTGCTTGCCTAAGTGCTTTCGTGAATCTGGTCCCCGATGTTGAAGTATCAACCTGGATAGGATAGGGTTCCGCTGCCCTCCAGAACCACATGAAATATCCATAAACGATGGAACACTCTTAGTCAATCGTATATCATCTATCAAAGAGAAATCATTTGCTAGCCACTCTCGTGAATCAACCCGTCCTTCTGATAGAGCGTCGCATTTTGACGTATACTCTACCCAACACTAAAAATCGTCGTACTAGAAAATGAAAGCGGCTCGCGAAATTGACATACTGCCCCGTTTTCTGTTTTGGGTCCTCTGGGAGGTTGAGATAAGGGAACTTTTACTAAAGTTTCTAGTTTCTTGACGTTGGTAAACCTTAGTAGGACCGTCTGCGTGATTAACGACAGTTATCTTGAGATGATTTCGGGGCTTTAGTGTCCCCGCGGCCCGGTCCTCGACCAGGCCTCCACCCCCAGGAAGCAGCCCGTGACAGCTGACTAACTCCCAGGTACCTATTTACTGCTAGGTAACAGGGGCATTCAGGGTGAAAGAAACTTTGCCTATTTGTTTCTGCCTCGTGCGGGAATCGAACCCGCGCCACAGAATTACGAGTCCTGCGCGCTATCCACCAGGCTACGAGACAGTATGCTGGTCTTTTAAATATTTAGCATAGCAAAAATGCCGCTCCCCGCAATAAATACCAGTAAGACTAATCACGGTGGTTCATATAGTTGTCACCAGGCGGCGCTCCAGTTTTATTGTTTACATTTTCCAGAGGTCCGGATATGTTTGTTAGTTATCGTGCGTCGCGAGTGAGGGATCCTCCTTTATTTATTTGTGCTATAACTCGACGAGCCGCCAGTTCCCGTCACCGCCAGCAGTGCCCGTCACCGCTGTCACCACCAGCCGTGCCCGTCACCGCTGTCACCACCAGCAGTGCCCGTCACCGCCGTCACCACCAGCAGTGCCCGTCACCGCCGTCACCACCAGCAGTGCCCGTCACCGCTGTCACCACCAGCAGTGCCCGTCACCGCCGTCACCACCAGCAGTGCCCGTCACCGCCGTCACCACCAGCAGTGCCCGTCACCGCTGTCACCACCAGCAGTGCCCGTCACCGCTGTCACCACCAGCCGTGCCCGTCACCGCTGTCACCACCAGCAGTGCCCGTCACCGCCGTCACCACCAGCAGTGCCCGTCACCGCTGTCACCACCAGCAGTGCCCGTCACCGCTGTCACCACCAGCAGTGCCCGTCACCGCCGTCACCAACTACCATGAGAGCCTACGTGGAGAATTAATCATCGAGCAGCCGGCATCACCTCGTTCCTCTGTTTAACAGGTAACCTCCTCCAATCATGCCACGGGAGACATCTCCCGTCACGCAGGGTGCAGTCGCACCTCCACAGATCTCCAGTATCATCTATTGATACTGGAAATGGCTCAAAAGGGCCACCACTTATGGGCTATTCATGCCCATGCCACCATTTGGGTGGCTTAATCTTCTCTCTCTCTCTCTCTCCAATCATGCCGAGATGACAAGATAGTTTTATACCCCGCAGGTATGATCAGATTAATGAGAAAATGATCAATATCAGAACTATTCTGTCCCCTTCTCAAGATAGCAAGCCATAAAAGTTATCTATAAAGTCATCATAGATAACATGATTATGTAAATTTTCAGTTCTCGTGTAAGCATTAATTACGTGTACATCTGTCGAGAAAAATAAATAATAAATAAATAATAAATATGTTATTCAGGTAAGGTACATACATACATACAAGTGATGTTACATTAATGGATTGATATATAGATAGAGCTAGTACATACAATGCCTAAAGCCACTATTACGCAATGCGTTTCGGGCAAAATCGGTGTTAAGGACCATTACCTCCATGATGTTGGGACCATGATACGAATTAGTCAATTGAGATACTTCAGCCAGTGCATCTACACAGTTGGTGTTTGTGGTGAAACAAGAGGCCAGATTCACGAAGCAGTTACGCAAGTACTTACGAACGTGTACATCTTTCCTCAATCTTTGACGGCTTTGGTTACATTCATTTAACAGTTTACAAGCGTGAAAACTTCCCAATCAACTGTTGTTATTGTTATAAACAGCCTCCTGGTGCTTCGCAGCTCATTAACTGTTTAATAATTGTAAACAAAGCCGCCAAAAATTGAGAAAAGATGTACAGGTTCGTAAGTGCTTTCGTGAATCTGGCCCAAGGCATATAGACACGTATGCTCAAGTACTTCCCAGCACCAATAGCGGCAAGTACAGTGGTAGTGTACCCTAATACGGTATTAACTTTACATTTCATGTTATATACGTATATTCCCTTGGTATAAAGTACATACCAACATGACTGTGTTAGATGGTACCACGTCTATATCCATCCTTTCTTTCACCCTATGCCCCTGTTACCTAGCAGTAAATAGGTACCTGGGTGTTAGTCAGCTGTCACGGGCTGCTTCCTGGGGGTGGAGGCCTGGTCGAGGACCGGGCCGCGGGGACACTAAAAAGCCCTGAAATCATCTCAAGATAACCTCAAGATAAGATCCTGTTAACGTTATTCTTGTTGATAAATTTCCCTATTTTCATTCTTATAAAGTTTGACATATTGACTAAACTGCCTCCATGTACCTCAATGTAATTATCAGGCTTGGTAGCTACACTTATAAATGGTGTAACATGCTTAACTTAATGAAAATTGAGGCTCAGCTACTGAGCGCATTATGTCTGTAAGCTTTCCCACTGCCGCTCCCAGAATGGTGTTGGGGGTTAATGCTACTAACAGGAACGGTATGAGGTTCTCTTTCGGCGAAGAGGATGGGGTATGAGGTCCACTATTGCTTGCTCCGCTTGCTCACAGGATGGGTAGGTGGTCGACTACAACTCATAGGATGGGTATGAGATGCCCGACTACTCACAGGATGGGTAAGAGATGAAATACTACTAACAAGATGGGTATGAGATGCACGACTACTCACAGGTTGGGTATGAGATGCATTGCTACTCACAGAATGGGTATGGAGTCCACATTTACTCACAGAATGATTATGGGGTCCACATTTTGCTCACAGAAGGAGTATGGGGTCCACACTTGCTCACAGAATGGGTATGGAGTCCACATTTGCTCACAGAATGAGTATGGGGTCCACATTTGCTCACAGAAAGGGTATGGGATCCACATTTTGCTCACAGAAAGGGTATGGGGTCCACATTTACTCACACGATGGACATGGTGTCTAGTTTTGCTCACAGGATGCGTAGAATAAAATAACTAATCGTAGCTAGAATTCCATGCCTTGAGAAGACGTACACATACACTGATGTTCGGAGGTGTACGTGTACCAATTCAGACCACAAACATCGACAACATTCTTCTCAACAAAGCAAGTCTGAGAAATTAAAGTCACGAATTATTGACGCTGTTAACTCGTCAGTCACGTTTTAAATTATACTTTTGTGTTTCCAACGATTTTCAAGTGCAATCTAAGGATCCGAACAGACCGCTGTGGGGGGATGGTTGAACTCCTCACCATAGGTAAACAATGGGTGGATATGCAACCATACGTGAAGGATGGTACGGTGCCTTACCAAAGGGATTAAGGGGATGGAAGGTGGGATGTCTCATTTACTTAATTTAAGCCAATGTTTTAGTCTCTTATCTCGCCCCTAGTCTACCACTGCCCGGCTACCTACCACCTACACCTCGTATAGTGGATCAATGCGTCGTAGCGCACACATTCACAACATTAAAAGCTATGCGCATTAAGCAGGTTAATCGCCCGGTATGGTGGCGACTTGACTTCCAGTTTGCTAGTCGGGGAAATCCTGTGTTGGTGTAAATGGTTTAGCCATCATTCTGTACCTTAACCCGCGTGTCAGTGCTTACCCAGATTACATATATTCAGCCTGATTAAGATATGTGTGTATATATATATATATATATATATATATATATATATATATATATATATATATATATATATATATATATATATATATATATATATATATATATATATATATCTTCCCCAATATCTATCAGATAAGATATATATCAGATGAGATATATATATCTTATCTTCTCACTTCTGGACTACTGGCTCAACACACCTCATCTTCCTATGGCCCAAAATCAACTCATGGACCATTGACCCAACACATCCCATGGTCCAGTGCTATCTGTCATCAACTCATGAACCATTACAAGCGTTCAGTGTGATGGCTGTGATTCAAGAGCGTTATCATCGTTGCGTAGTGGGATCGGGTGAGCACAAAACAGAGTGACCTCGGAGCAAAGAGGAAAATACGACTGTCAACAAGGTGAAAAATGAAAGGCAGAGAGAGAGAGAGAGAGAGAGAGAGAGAGAGAGAGAGAGAGAGAGAGAGAGAGAGAGAGAGAGAGAGAGAGAGAGAGAGAGAGAGAGAGAGAGAGAGACTGACTGACATTGAAACTGAACCTCTTTTTTTTCTGTCTCTGCCATAGCGACGATTACGTGCAGACTTGGTCAAAATCTTTAAGACACTGAAGACTAGCTCAAACGTGAAGAATCGTTCGAGATGCAGACAGATCAACACACACACCTCATGGGAAGTTGATAAACATATACCCGTTCCTTCTCAACAGAATGCAAGGACATGGGAATATATTTGCAGCTGATTTACATTCAACATAGGCATTTAGGAAACGGCAATTAAGATACTCATTAACCGTGTTTATAAAATAATGGAATATCATAATTGCATGACGTGTGAGTGTGTGATAAGTTGATGGAGGTGGATGAGTGTGTGTGATGAGTTGATGGAGGTGGATGAGTGTGTGTGATGAGTTGATGGAGGTGGATGAGTGTGTGTGATGAGTTGACGGAGGTGGATGAGTGTGTGTGATGAGTTGATGGAGGTGGATGAGTGTGTGTGATGAGTTGATGGAGGTGGATGAGTGTGTGTCATGAGTTGACGGAGGTGGATGAGTGTGTGTGATGAGTTGACGGAGGTGGATGAGTGTGTGTGATGAGTTGACGGAGATGGATGAGTGTGTGTGATGAGTTGACGGAGGTGGATGAGTGTGTGTGATGAGTTGACGGAGGTGGATGAGTGTGTGTGATGAGTTGACGGAGGTGGATGTACTGACAATAATTGCCTTTGTGTCCCCAGCCTTGGTTGAGTAGCCCCAATGGTTCAGGCACGCTTGTGTTTGGTTGAAACAAGATCATTTATAACGTCTTTCCTGTCATATATATCTACGCCTTTTTGCCAGCTCTGTACGGTGCTAATTATGTACAATTAGCACCGTACCGCCCAGCATTACAGGGTGAAGTGGAGGATGTGAAGAGCGCCTTTGTTCGTTCTATACTGATGTCTGCCCCACAGACAGTATTCAGTAGTGATGTTGACAGCCTGGACTTTTCCAGTAAATAATGAAATCATTGACCACTGACATTAAAATGTCAGTGGTCAATGACTCAAAATCAAATCATTAATCATTTAAATAAAAAATTATTGACCATTAAAATGCGGTAAATGCACCGCATTTACCGCATTTAAATGGTGTTAAATGCGCCAATGAACGAGCTTGTGTTGAGTAGGCCATTATAGCTTAACAGGCACAGTTAGTGCAGCCTGCGATAGGCCGTCCTAATGGCCCTCTGCACTCTGTTGATACTCTCCCCCCGACAAGTGAACACAAGTCTTGAGTCACACTTCCAACAAATGTCATACGCACGAAATCAGAACCTAACAAGCAGAGGAACAATCAGAAACCGGAATTGTATGAAACACTTATTTCCTAAAAAGGTTGTTCAACAAGAATGAATTATTTCATAGTTCTCACTAAATTAGGCAATTCAAGAACGCCTTAAGTAAGCACCAGACGTCTTTATAAAGTGAAGCATCAATAACTTATTGAAAATGGGCAATAAAGTGAGGAATGATAATATTTTGAGCCCTTTTTCTCGTAATCTTTGGCCGACTCGACTACTCGGGCGAGTCGAATCTTTGGGCGACTCAACTCGTTAATGAACACGCAAATGATTCCCGAACGAACCATCCAGTGTAGTCCGTAGCTAATGAGCGTTCGGGTGTCATGGAAGGCAACTCCCAGTAAATACACATTGACACACGTTATTACAACGCTCAAACACCGTTTTTCTAACGTACGTTGGGTATTTGTTGGAATACTGGATAACGTTCCTCGCTGTTACGTCTCTCCAGCTGGACTGCTTCTCTGTGGGATATTTATTTATAAATAAAATTGATAAATATGTATAATTCTGTATATATAAATGTATAAAATTTATAAATCTGTGGGATTTATTACTGAGTTCCG